GGTAGTATTAATAAAACCAGCTCAATACTCCCATACACTGTTCTTTTAGATAAACATAGAAATTGACCCTTCTGCTGTTAAAGCTTGAAACCTGTATTTGTTTTATCTGAGTTCCTTCCTCAGGAAAGGATCTTCAAGTCTCTCAAAAAAAAAAGTATTAAAGAACTGAAACTCATCAGCCCATGAACCAGATGTCTCCTTTCTCCTCCCTAGTTCCTGTTTTACACCCTGTTACATTGATTTCCTGCTAAAAAAAAGAAAATCCCATACTTTTAGCCAGGGAGATGGATTTGAGACTGAGCCCCCATCTCCTTGGCTGCAGCACCTGATTAAAGCCTTCTTCCTTGGCAATACTTGCTGTCTCAGTGACTGGCTTTTTGTGCAGTAGGGTCTTGATCAAATCTCTAGTGCTTTGGTAACATTATCAGAAACCACTGGGATAACATAAGAATAAGTTGTTACAGGCTGGGCATGGTGGCTCACGCCTGTAATCCCAGCACTTTGGGAGGCCGAGGCGAGTGGATCACAAGGTCAAGAGATCGAGATCTTCCTGGCCAACATGGTGAAACCCTGTCTGTACTAAAAAAAAAAAAAAAAAAAAAAAAAAAGAATAAGTTGTTACATGCCATAATTATTTCACAATTGCTATTTATTACTTCCAGGGGTGGCATGACCATTGCTACCAGAAATAAAAATAATTATCAATGTGTTCGGTGATGAGGAAAAAATATGAATTGGTCTTCATTTCTTCTTTAGGGAAATTCTATGTTATTACCCATGGTAACTTAACAATTTGATTTAACACTAGAGAAATCTCCCTCAGTCCCATACACACCCCCAGTAGCCAGGTTCCAAGCAGAAATCATTAAAGGAGGTTTATTTTAACTATACTTTGCTGAATTATCCTAGATAGCCCCATAGTTCCTACATAATTTGAAGTAACTGGTTTCGAGAAGTGAGTCTAATAAATATTGCTTTGACTGACAACTTTTCTGTCAGCTTAAGGTAGCTGCTCAGAGTTAGAAAATACAGACTATGTGGGCAGAGACCGAGATTTTCATCAACAGTCATGGTACTATGCAATTTACGAGTTCCCATGCCTTCTCTAGAAAAATCAACCAAGCTTAAGGAACCCATGTGAGCCATTTGCCAAGCACAGTTGGCACTGTGGTCAAAAGAACTCTGGGTTCTCACCATTCATATGTCTGAGGGGGCTAGATTTCCAGGGCTCACAGTCCAAGACAAGAACATAAGGCTAAGAGGTAGAGACAACAGCATTTGTTGATTTAGTAGAGCACAGACTTCAGTGACAGACAGCCTTCACTCAAATTCTGGCTCTGGCACTTTCCAGCTGTGTGACTTTACCTAAATTACTTACCTTCTCTATACCATAGGTTCCCTATCTGTTAATGATGATAATCAAAAGCTTACTTCAGAAGGTTGTTATGAGGATTAAATAGCTGAAGTTTAAGTAGTGCTTGTTGCACTATTAAGACTTGAATGGGCAAGATGTGTCTCTGTTTTCAAAAACAAAAGAAGGAGGTTTTATTTCTTTTACTTAACAGATCAATTCGAATTCATATACAATAACGCGTAATGTTTTTATAAAGATAATTTTATGGCTTTTGATTAGAAGAGCTTTGCTAATCAAGCTTTCACAGAAAAGATTCCTTCTTCAAGGAATAGGCAAGAAAATATTGCAATTAGCACTGGTGGAAGCAGTGGTGAGGTCTGTTCAGGTTACAATAATGCATATATAAGACCTCTGGTGACATAGAAAACACTGTATATATATACCACTTCATCTCAGTTCCTTTTTCTTGCCCATCCTGTCCATATTTTTCACTGTTTCTTTTGGTAGGAACCAACTTCTGCCAAGTCCTCTGAATGGCTACTTCCTACCCTATAGTTCTAGGCACCATGAGCAGATATTTGCAGTCACTTGAAAGTAGGACTTGAGAAAAGATTTGTCCCTCATGCTTTTTCATTAGCAAAGCAGCAACTGCATTTCCAGGATAAAATAGGAGGACAACATTCATTTATTTCAGTCCTTTATTTGCTTATTTTCTGAGGCCTTTCTACGTACCCAAAAAGGGAGAGAATGAAAGAAAAAGACATGAACCCTGTCTTCCATAAACTAACTTTATACTTTATAGACAAAACACACAGAGATGAAGGTTTCTCATGAGTACGACATAAAATTAGTAAGAGAGGGAGAAAAAAACGCTGACCAGAGAAAGGAGATTCAGTAAGAGACAGAGTTGAGTTCCTGGAGACAGGAGATGTCAGTTTGGACTTTAAAAGCAAGGCATACACCATCCTGAACAAGAGCACCAGAGGGAGAGAGGTAAATAAGCTTCTGTGCAACAAAAACCTCCTTTAGTTACAAATGTCTCGTTTTGATAGGGGTAAAAGTGGTATCTTGCCATATAGAAGTCCTTGTGTTATTATCTCAGAGCCAGTTTGTTTGCAAATGGCCTAACTTTTTCAGGCAGTTTTGCTAGCTTTTTAAGAGATTTCTCTAATGTAGTTCTCTGGCTTTCAACTCCCACAGGGGTTTTAGGGTAGTGTTTGAAAATGAGAAAGATAAAAATGCATTCCTCTTAGAAGTTCATATAAAAGCAAAAGAATTGGAGTGGAGGTGGGAAGCTATTATGTACCTTGGTGATCTATTCTGCCTGTAACTCTAAAGGCTGATGAGAGGCAGTGTGATTTCAAGAGGAATCAAGAGGAGATACTTTCACTGCCCTCATTGCAGGGAGCTCATTGGCTCCTAAAAGGTCACTGTCACAGTGATTCTGAATGACATGAATAAAGGATATTTAAACTCCTGTCTGAGCTAGATCCTTGTTACACAGTTTATAGTAGTAAAAATCTTGAAACAACCTGAATGTCTTTTCCACAGGCAGATTAGAGAAATTAGGGTAAGGTAGAATCACATCTTTTGGCAGGAGGTAGGATGTATATTCAAAGGTATTGATAAATATTAACATCAAAATCACACTAGAATGTTCTGTGCTTTGTTCTTACTTTGCCAGAATCTAAGACCTTGGAAAGTTAAAAGCAAAAGTTAACTTCTGATATTTTCCTTGTTTTCAATTTTACCCACCCATTCCCATGGACAGAGCCACGTCTAGTTTAACTAGGGGGATGAACTGAGGCGGTTAAAGAAAGGAATGCTATTTCCTTTGTCCCTTTCTTTTTCTTGCTGCCCCCGTCTCTCTTTCTCTTCACGTATTTCTCTTTTCCCATACATATATCCCACTAACATATATAGTTTATGTTTTGCATTAATTAGGCATAAGATTTACCTCCAATCTATATTCTTAGAGCAAAATGATATGTAGTCAACTAAAAATAATGATGTATGCATAATAAACTGCATCCCCGCAAAAAAAAAAAAACAAAAAAACAAGGTATAGAACAGTGTGCACAGCTACCATTTATGTAAATGTGGGTATCTCTATCTATATATGTTAGGGACTGAATATTTTTGTCTCCTCAAAATTCATATGTTGAAACCCTAACCCACAATGATGTGATGGTATTTGCAAATAGGGTCTTTAAGAAGTGATTAGGTTTAACTTAGGTCATGAGGATAGGGTCCTCATGATGGGATTAATGCCCTGATAAAAAAAAAAAAAAAGGAAGAGGTGTGGTGGCTCACACCTGTAATCCCAACACTTTGGGAGGTTGAGGCTGGGGGATCATGAGGTCAGGAGAGTGAGATCATCCTGGCTAGCACAGTGAAACCCCTTCTCTACTAAAAACACAAAGAATTAGCCAGGTGTGGTGGGCACCTATAGTCCCAGCTACTGGGGAGGCTGAGGCAGGCATCTCAAAAAAAAAAAAAAAAAAAAAAAGAGGAAGAGAGATCAGAGCTCTCTCTTTCTACCATGTATGGACACAGACAGAAGGGAGCCATCTGCAAGCCAGGAAGGGAGTCTTCAGCAGGAACCAAATCTGCCAGCACCTTGAACTCCCCAGCCTTGAACAATGAAGAATAAATATCTGTTGTTTAAGCTACCCAGTCTATGGTATTCTGTTACTGCAGCCCAAGCAAAGTAAGACTACACACACACACACACACACACACACGCACACACACACACCACACGTTTGGCAATTCACAGAACATTTCTAAAAAGATAATTGAGAAACTAGTAATAGCAACTGTGTCCCACATGACAAGGAGAAGGCTGGCCAGGCACGGTGACTCAAGCCTATAATCCTAGTACTTTGGGAGGCCGAGGTGGGCAGATCACTTGAGGTCAGGAGTTCAAGACCAGCCTGGCCAACATGGTGAAACCCCATCTCTACTAAAAATCCAAAAAGTAGCCAGCCATGGTGGCGTGCACCTGTAGTCCAAGCTACTGGGAAGACTAAAGCAGGAGAATTGTTTGAACCCAGCAGGCGGAAGTTGCAGTGAGCTGAGACCACACCACTGCACTAGAGCCTGGGCGACAGAGTGAGACTGTCTAAAATAAATAAATAAACAAATAAATAAATAAATAAATAAATAAATAAATAAATAAATGACAAGGAGAAGGCTTACAAGATCTAAAATCAGGAATGAGAGGAAGATCTACTTTTAGACTAAATAAAACCTACTTCTTTAGACTGAAAATCTTCATTTGAATATGTGATATATGTGTATATAATGCTTTTAATAATAAAAAGTCACTATTAGATTTTTTTAAATGTCTCTCTCCACGGTTCCACCAAAATATAACAAAGCAATTCTCATAAAGCCCTTGCAGTTCACTAACCTCCATAATCCATTTGGGGTTTTCCAAAAAGACTGTGATAGATTTTTTAACATTCTCTTAAAGTGTTTCTTACTCTAATGTCACATCCTGCCCTGAGGAGATGTGGGCATGTCCCAATAAGAATAGACCTTATGTGAGGGCACTGGTGAGAACAAGATTCTAATGGTCATTTACTAGGTCATAACTGACTAGATCATATCTTAATGTGCTACAAGATAAAGTGAGACTTACCAGTAGAACCTGTTTGGTACAACCCCTTCTTGGATAAGCTGCCACCTTCTCCCAAATTCAGCAGAGCTGTATAACTGTAAAGAACAGAAGTTACTCAACACTATGGTTCTATAGTACATCACATACACAAGCATCAGTTCATTGGATCAATAGTAATAATAATACCTAACATTTATTGAACACCTGCCATACACAAGGTGAGTGCTCCACATGTACCACCTCCATTTCTTATACAAGCTCTGCAAGGCAGATTAATATCTTCATTTTACAGTTGAGGAAACTGAAGCTTAGAAGGATTAACTGACTTATTAGAAATTACATGTCAAGTCAGTAGTTGAATGAACTGGAATGCACACCCTGTTCTGCCTGGCGATAAAGTCAGCTGTGCCACTTGACCTAGCATGTGCCGAGAACTGTGGGGAATGCAAAGAAGTGCAAAATCTAGACAAGGTTCTGAAAGAGCACACAATGTAACCAGAACCTGGCTCACATAATGAGAAATGCACGAGGCAGCCAGTGATAAAACAATGCAGAAGACAGGAGCCAATTTAGGGATGCTTCCCAGATGCTGTGGTGAAACAGCTGGGACCTGAATGAATGACAGTATTCAAATGGCTAAAAATAGTATTATTCACAAAGGAATAGCGTGAGTCAAAGTGGTAAGATAGACAGGGACAACATAAAAATAAGCCAACTTATCTATGTAAGCTTATCTAAGTAATAATTACACATTATTCAGGCATCCAGTCAAGGAGAATCTGTACCTTTTTCTTTCTAAGTCTTTTTAATTATTCTTTTGTTTTTGCTTTTGTTTTTTTGAGATGGAGTCTCACTCTGTTGCCCAGGCTGGAGTGCAGTGGTGTGATCTCGGCTCACTGCAAGCTCTGCCTCCCGGGTTCACACCATTCTCCTGCCTCAGCCTCCTGAGCAGCTGGAACTACAGGTGCCTGCCACCACCCCTGGCTATTTATTTTACTATGATTTTTAACAGAGATGGGGTTTCACTGTGTTAGTCAGGATGGTCTCAATCTCCTGACCTCGTGATCTGCCCATTCCAGCCTCCCAAAGTGCTGGGATTACAGGTGTGAGCCACCATGCCCAGCCTATTATTCATTCTTTGGCCACGCCTGAGGGAGACTGGTTTCCGGGGTACATTTCATGTTTGATATATTTCATAAGTGCCAAGGAGAGACGGGTGACAACTCCTCTCATAGAGATAACAGAAGATGGGACAGGTCACACTGTCTTAACTGAGAACCCAAACAGGCAGTGTATGCATGGCCTGCTTCTTGTTCCCAGCATGTCCTGAACACCCGGTATTTCACCACTGAGAATTGTACAACAGCAGCAGGCACCCAACCCGAGAGTATCCACTTCTCTCTCTCTCCCCTTTGTCTTCTTTTCTTCTTTTTTTTTTTTTTAGCCTAGAGCTCTACTTCTTTCTGTAAGTTTAAAGGGAGCAGAGTTCATACCATTGTGGTGTGCCTATGTCAAACAGATATATCTATATTTAGTAACATACAAAGATTAATGCAAATGTAAAAGTATCAGGACAGTTCAAAATAATATGTCTGGGTAACAGGCTGAACTCATATACATGCTGCAAGAATAATACATAAACTCTGTGTGCTCCTACGGCTACACCAAAGGATTGCTATTCCCGTTCCCACAGAGAATTCATCTCTATGAGGAATTGTTGGGCGCCAGCATTTGTGGTTCTTTTTTTCTGTTTGTAAATTTATCCCCTAAGCTTGAATCTGGAGCCTGTGGACCACTCAGGTATGTCCCAAGACATTTGTTTATATCTTCAAAGAGCAACTTCATTATTTGTGAGCATGTAGAGGCCCCTCAAGCAGTGGGTATACAAAACAATCCAATAAACCAAGCCTCTCGCATTCAGCTCAGTGAGATTCTTTCAATTTACTCTCTCCTAAGGTACCTTTTGGTCCTGGTGGGCTGGCCCTGTCACCTTCCCACACGCGCCTTGCTGTGCCTTCACTGAGGCTGCCCACTCTGGCAAAAGTGGCTTCAAGACTTTCCTTCTTCAATGCCAGTCTTGTTTTCAGAGCCAGATGAAAGGCCACCTCCTCTATGAACCCTCCTCTACCTACTAAGATTCCTACCGGTCTCATCTCCAAAGAACTGTGGAACAAGAGCAGATGCTATCAAACTACCAGCCACGTATTTATATTTAATTCTCTTAACAGCCTTTCAAGAGAATCATTCATGAATGCAAGGCAGAAATTCCTTTCTATCTAAAATTACTCTAAAATTTCTAAGACCACTTCCTGCCTCTTTAATGAGATTGCGAAGCTTTTAGATGTTGGAAATCCTATCCTTCTACATGTACAGGTGCCTCAAACAGTAGATGATAAATGAAAAAGATAATGATTTGGCACCACGTGAATTTCCTAGTCATGTTTCTACCTAATAAAGCACCCAGGTTTCACAATTGGTGGACAAAGAAAATTTATCAGAGGAATATATTTTAGTTCCATGGATTTATAACTAGAGGCATATACCTAAAAAACAAACAAAACACACATCCACAAAACCCTATAAATATCAAGGATTTGAAAGCAGAGTCTTGAATATTCACTTTTAGACAAAACTGCTCTGTATTCTCCACCTACTACTTCAGACATTTTCTCCCTAAAAAGTTAATTGTCCAGTCTGGTGTTATACTGACTAAAAAGAAAACAACAACTCAGCCATTCAAGTTAACGTGTTAATTAAACCTACAGAGTCTGGCAGCAAAGCGCTCCTCCACAAAGAAGGGAATGGTATCAAAGCATTTTACCCAATGACTGTCTCAGCCACCAGTGGAAGGCTTTCCCTGTAGAATGAGTCAATGTCCTTTAATAAAATTCATAGTGTTGGCAGCACCTAAATAAGATTTATTTCCCTGCCTGCCTGTCTCTGGCTCCAAGGTTTGACCGTCAGAACACAGAACTGAGAACTAGCATTACTATCTGTCACATCAGAGAAAGCAGCAGCAGCTTTCTCTAGCTATGCCAAGCTTAGAGAAAGACAGAAAGATTAAGAAAAGGATGGAAGAGTACTTAATCTAGTTTTAGGAGGCCATTGTGCCTCTACTAGTGCCGTGTCATGAACTTAAAATTGCCATTCTTAGAGGGTTTGATTTTGTTTAGCTAACATCACTATAAATGTTGAACAAGAACTGAAGGAGCAGAAATGTTAGAGAACAAGGAAAGATTCTAGTTATATCTGCAATGCAACACAGAAAATCCTTCCTGTCTAAAATCATTCTAAAGTATCTGTGACTACATCCTTGTATTAGTAAACACAACTTAATGAGCACAAACCCAGCACTCACCTGTGCTCAAGATCTATCAGCAGCCTTAAGGCCTAACCCTCCAGACTGTCATTATGCTGGTCTGGAGCTATTAGCACTTCTCTCTCTTTCCTGACATGTTCCTCTCCTGAAAGGTTTTTTTTTTTTTTTTAAAGACATCTTTCACATTGGCTTGTTTCCTTGCCATCTGTCTTTGTTTGCTTTAAGAAGAATGCAGATAAAAATACACTTAATTCCAAAGGATGAAATCGCCAGGGTTAGTTTCGTTGACAGCTTTGAGCCAACTCTTAGGCATCTCTGGCACCTTCCTCTGGATCTCTTTGGTGCTGCAAGTTGTATGGTGGGCACCGGCTATAAGGAATGATAAAGAGGGATGCCACAGCAGGACAAAATAAACTGGGGGAGGGGAAGAATGGGATGCACTGGTTTTGCTCAAGATTCCTAGTCTACAGCAGATAAAGATGGGATAAGAGAAGGGGAGCAGCCATTTCCAACTTTCATTTCCACCTTAACATTCACATTTTGGTTAAATCCCTAGAAGAGTGACAACTTGCTACAAGATAAGAAACTCAGCTCCTTGTGGTGATACACAAGCTTGCAACTGTCAGTGTCCTTAAAAAGTCTTTTCAATATTTCTAAATCGGATCAACGTATCCTCTCTTTGCAGATTGTTAGACATGTGCACGTGATGGAATTCTCTTCTGCAGCTGGGAAATGCGTGAAAGAGCATCCATTCCACAGAAATTTGTGCTAGGAGAATTCCATAGAAGCTAAGAGTTGTGATAACGTTTTAAGTCTTTGGTTCATGGGACCAGATGTTGTTCACCACAAAGCTTCCCACGGCGGCTTCCCCGGTCAGGGGGCAGTTTCCTGGGGCTCCTCCACACAGGCTCCTTAGAAGGCGTCTGCGTTGGCGGAAAACATCCTGCTGTCGGCTCTTTTCAAGGTTGCCTGCCCACTCCTCTTTCCTTCTCTCCTCTTAACATTTTGGAAGCAGGGGGCCTGCAAATTGTACTTCTTGAAAAGGCTAACAGAAAATCCTGCCAGTTCTATTTTATTTGCCTCATCCTAATATTGCCCTGGGGATGGCCTGGGTACAAAGCACTCATCCACCTCATGACTCTCTGATTCTCACAGCTATTCCTGCATCCTTTTTAGCAAGAAAGAGATGGTACCTTAAGGACTTCATATAAATTCCTAATGCCAGGCCTGAGGCATCACAAATATCAAGTTCTTTTTTCCATCACCCTCAATAAGAAGAAAGAGAATCAGTCCAGAGAAAAATGCTGTCCTCAGAAGTATGTTCTGATGCTCTCGTTCCACGGCATAGGAGGGGGCCAGAACCCACACTAAGGGGAACCAAAATCTGCAACACTTAAAAGGATTCTGCAAACTTCACTAAGAGCTGATACGAGTCTTTACCTTGGCTGTTCAGTACAGAGAGCAGATAGTGAGAGAGCCATGATGCCCAATCCAGACCTCACACCCAACCCTGACCCCATAGTTTCTCAAAGAAAATGTTAGTGTATTAGTGGTATCACAACCTACAGTAATGTCTAATATTTTGTGTACAGTGTTGTAGTGACCTGTGTTGTAGTGGCCTATGTTTTAGAGGAAAAGTTTAGAATTTGCAAAATAATTCATAGTGGGCTTTGTAGTACAATTAACATGTCTTAGAATGAAGATATGCAGAAACAGTGTTCCAGCGGAATGGGTCAGTCTGTGCAAATAAACAGAGCAGCATAACTCAGGGTGGTG